CTTAGGTGGCCTTTTATTTCATTAATATTATATTATCTGCGAGTACAGTTTTTTAATAAATAGTTACAATACATAGTTGAATACAATTGGGTAAAGTATTTTGTTTATTCAATTTCCCTACTTTAGAAACATTCCCACAGTAAAGGATGTTAACAGATTAGAAAGGAGCCAAATAGGGAAAATCGGTGAGAGATATGTGAGTGAGCTGTTTTCAATTTTTTTTACCAAAAAAACCACGGAACAACGTCACATTAAAAACACCAACAAAATATACTATAAAACAATGAAATGCTTATGATCTGTATGTTGCTTGCAAAAAATGTACAAGTCATGGCCAAAGGTTTTGGCAGTAAATTTTGTGTTTTGCAAAGTTTGCTGCATCACATTTTTAGATTATTTTTCCACGTTTCTACGGTATACTGAAAAACAATGGTAAGCATATCATAAGTTTTAAAGTCTTTTATTGGCAAAAAAATACAATGAGTCAATATTTACAGTGTTGACCCTTGTTCTTCATAACCTCTGCAATTCGCTCTGGCATGCTGGATATTAGCTTCTGGGCCAAATCCTGACTTAACCTCTGCAGTTCGCTCTGGCATGCTGGATATTAGCTTCCAGGCCAAATTCTGACTGATGGCGATCCATTCTTGCCTTTTTAGTTCTTGCCTTATTAGGGCTCCTGCTTGTCCACTCGCCTTTTGAGGACTGACCACAGGTTCTCTATGGGATTGAGATCCGGGGAGTTGCCTGGCCACCGATCCAAAATTTTTATGTAATGATCTTCGAGCCACTTCTTTATCACTCTTGCTTTGTGACATGGTGCTCCATCATGCTGGAAAATGCATGGGTCTTTGGAGGTAACCATTGCTAACAAGAACACAATGATTGAAAGCACTTCTTCTCTCATTTTATAGCAATCAGTCTGCTCTTACAATCTAATTAGTATGTTAGTGATTTTACCTGACTAGTACTTATTCACACTTTCACATGTGCTGCTGATATGATTAGTCAATTAATGTTAGCTGGTCATTTTGTGTCAGGGTAAAAACAGTGAATTTTTTTTGTTTAGTTTTTTTTGTGAAAAGTTCATTTTTTTGGCCAATGAAGCTTTTAGCAATTATTTAAAATGCATCTGATCACTCTACACAATAATCTAGAAACAATGTGAATGAACACCACAACAGCTTAAGCAGCAAACTTTGCAAAACACAAAAAGTATGTCACTGCCAAAGCTTTTGGCCATGACTGTATTATGCCAGAACACATGGCCACTTTTTAATGGCTGTAAATGGAAAAATATGCTTTTTGCAGACTTCTACCAGTAGGGGCAATCTGGCCCATTGCAGCCAGCCAAACCTTGACCCCTTGGTGGTATTTCACTGGTACCAGACACAAAGCTCTAATCCATATTTTACCCCAGTTTTAAGAGGCCTGTGTTGTCCTAATGTGACTCTGAGATCTCTGTGCTCATGGTTTGCTTTTCCTCCCTTGATATCTGAGCTTTTTCTCTGTCCAGCTGCAATATAACTCCTGAAGCCGAAGCACACGCTCTCCTCTAAGGCGACAGCGCTCACACTGATGAGGAGAGTTTGAGCAAAGGCAGTGATGGAGATAGAGACTGTTTGGGAGTGTGACAAACAGATACAATCAGAAAGAATGAGAATGGCAGTTAATGAATGAGACAGCAAGAAACAGAGATTGGAGGAGTGGCTGAGGTTCAGACGGGAGTCCTGATGGTACTTTAATGAAGTGTTCTCTAAAAAGAACAAGCATTTTTGGAGCAAGATCACACACATAAACTCATTAACTCAATGGCTGTGCTGGGACAGAGCCAGGAGGTTATAGCCACAGTCAGCAAGATAAAGAAGCAGAGGAGAGAACAGAAAACTAGAAGGGTCATTTTATGAAGAAAATGTGAGTGGTGCCTGTCTAGGATATTGCTATGTGTTTGCTAGGTGGCAATCCCTAACCATGCAGTCACATTTAACATCGTTCGGCAAATGTTCGCAGGCATTCCAGTCATTTCAAATCTATGAGATTGGGAATTTCACATAAGATTTCCCCATGCAAATTTGAATTGGGTTCAAGTTGTTCGTCATGCAAATTTCCTGCGTTGACCAACAGAAAGCTTCTTGGTGTTAAAGTGATTTCTGTGTGTGCTTCATACATCACTACACGATTAATAATAAACCATGGACCTGCATCTTTTGCAGTAACAGCATTAAACCAATGTTTTATCCAGTATGGACAAAACTACTTTTGAAGTCAATGGGATCTGAAACTGTTAGGCTAACATTCTTCAAAATATCTTCTTTTGTGTTCCTCAGAAGATCGAAAGGCATACAGGTTTGGCATTATATGAAGGTGAGTAAGACGAGTATGATGACAGAAATTTTATTTTTTGAGTGGACTATCCCTTTAAACCCTTCCCATTTCTTACAATCAACTACATTTGAATTCAGATCTGCCTCCATCCAATCAACAACCAATGGATAGAATCAAGTTCCACACTACTTTTTTTTTTCATAATTCATCTTATTTAGATATATATATGCCACAATATGGAAGAAATTATCTGTTGCTACTTTCCTTGCATTGCAAATTATTAGCACGCGTTATGTGAAGCAGGATTTTGGACAAATGAGATTTCTCTGTGGACAAGTCTACTCAACACAAAGCTGCATAAATGGACAAAATGCTTCTCACTGTATCATGTGGGGGAATGCTTGTCCTGAGCAGACCCATCCCACAGAACAGCTGTCACTCTGGAGTGTGATACATGACATGGACAGATGTTCTGACAAATGGGACTGTATCGTTATCATTTGCTCAATAAAGACCCTTTCATCTTGTTGTAAAACTAGTTCTTTTCACAGTAAAACCTGCAGTGGAAAAGGGTGGAATTCATTCCAATTGTGCAGCTTTGTAATGTGCTTCACCAGGCCGAGCCGCCCATGGGGATTGGGTGGTGGTCGAAGCCCAGCCTGATGTATTTAAGTCATAGCATTTAATCTGGCCACATTCTACCCAACAGCCCCGCAAGGCACTGCTCTCTCCCTCTGACTGACACGCTGACACCTGGGCTCCACTGCTGCCGGCTGGCCAGCATGCTGCTTGGGCCCACCTGCTCACCACACATAACGCAATGCAAACATTTCAACAGTTAGGCCAACTTTAAAAGCTCCACGCGACTTAATGAGAAAGAATCCAAGGTCTGCGTTTCACCTCTTTCTATGTCTCTCTCTCGTTCTCTAGAGGGCATTTAGAACTGCCCATTAACGGCCAAAGTGTGGATTTCCTGTGAAATAATGATTGTGCCCTCCACATGGTTCGCATCTAAATACTCAAGAACACTTAGTTAAACATGAAGCCCAGCGATCGGCAATCGGAATGGGATTGCTTCCAGCTGTGCCACTCCGACCAGCATTCAAAACGGGAGATTCTTTCTTTATTGATGCTGTTGCTTATACTGCATATATTGGCTTTGCTGTGGAAAAACAGGGTGGGCGTGAAGTGGTCAGCCATTCACTTACTCCCAATCCCCCCACCATGATTTCATTTTCAGATTGCAATCAAACTATTCTACGCCTGGAGGTGACCTGACAGATGACTGCTTTAGTCTCTTGGATAGCTTAGTTTCATGGCGAAGGGCTGTGCTGTAACTTCTCAGAAGTTCACTTTGTTTCGGGAATTTTCTTTGGATTGGTTCTATCTTCTGGCTGATGAATAAGAATAGTGAATGAGAACTAATGTCAAAAGGGTAGCTGTCTCAAATCCACTTATAGGGACTGTTTCATTTAACCATCGGTGCAAGCATTGATGCTGATGATGTATTACTTTTGCAATATTAAGTGTTGCAATATTACAGTGCTGAGTTTGAAGTCTGCAATAATTACAAGTAAATATTTCTTCCCATACATTATGTGAAAATGCATATCTTAGAAAGGTCAGTTGCTTATAGAAAGCCTTCCCAGCAAACTAGATTCAAATTTCAGTATATTCATCTCAGAGCCCCCCTTTTATGTGCTATAAAGATTTTACTCTGTTACTAAATGAGCTCTGATGTGTGAATAAAATTAACATGGTTGACCACTAAAGAATGTCTCAAATTGAGGAAGAAAAGTTTACACATTTTGTACTATATTGCTGTTTTCTATCAAGAAATATGCTGAGAATTAAATTTTACAGGTCAAATACTTTGATTTCTAAATTTGAGCCAAAATAGTCGACTTCAGACAGTTTGGAATATTTAATGCATGAGACACGTGAACCACTTTTATGTACTTTTATGGTGTTTTTGTGTCCTTTTTGAAGCTCAAAAGCTCCAGTACCCATTCATTGTAATTGCATGGAAAAGAGCAGCAGAACAATTCTTCAGTGTTTCTCCATTTTGTGTTCCAAGTCTGAAGAATAAATACTGCTTTAGAACGACATGAGGGTAAGTAAATGAAAGAACTTTAATTTGGGGGGTGAACTACTACTCATGTAATCATAACCAAAACCTAAAGACTTTGTATCTAGTCTAGCTCCTCAGGTACGCTTTATTTACATTGTACATATGTATATTGTTGTTTAGTATTAATTTAATATTAATTTAGTTTCCATATTGTGCCTATATATCACACAAATGACGAACGAAGCAGATTTTAATGACAATAATCTCCACAAAGCAATCACACTTTGAGAGTACTTTCATCATTATTAGTCGTCACTCACTTAATACGCACATTTCATGGCCAGAATGCATGTCTCTAATGTGGTTATCAGTCAAAGCTCCAGGAAATGACGCGTTCATCCGTCTATGTTCTGATAAATCCCACATCCACTTCCAACTTTAAGATTAAACTCGCCAATAAATGCAAATATTGTGCGTGCGTGCGTGTGCGCAAGAGAGAGAGAGAGAGAGAGAGAGTGAGAGTGAGAGTGAGAGAGAAGAGGGAGAGAAAGAGAGATCGCTGCGATCCGTTTCTGTCCATCACTCACACCAGCAGCAGCAGCACCAGCTCGGACCTTATAAACTCTCCATCCCAAATCCTGGAATATCAGACCGAGAATAATGAAATCGGACATAATGTGGATTTATCAAGCTCTTCTGTGCGTCTTACTTTCTGTGGATGTGGGTGAGTGACCAGCGCGTAATGCGCAAGTGAAGTCAAAGTGCGTTATTGATTAACTGATCGTGTTTTAAATCGTGTACAACACAATGCAATTAGGTGACTGTTAGATTGCTTTGAGAAATATTACATAGATTAAACAGAAGTTCATGTTATGTATTCATGACTACTTCATGTTGTTTTTGAAAAGTGATGTGCTTGTTTATAAATGCATTTTGAGGGTAACTGTGATTGTGAGGATATTGGATATTATTTTGTGTATGTCCTGCATTTAAGACTCTCTTTTTCTCGTGCAAAAACTTACCATGGTGATCAAATGCCATATTTACTGCAGGCATACTCTAGTGAAACTACTACAAGCCATCAGTGTCCTCACAAGAAATGTACAAAATGACAAAAATATTCCAGAGGTTCTTCCTCTGTCTGAAGGAGGTCTCGTATTAATGACAAATTAAACTGTAATCTCTCACTCCCAATGCACTAAAATTGGGTTTAATTAAACTTTATTACTTTTGAATGAAGTTTAATTGTTGCAAAGTGGTTACGACCAGCTGTAAGTTCATTGCACTTCTCAGCCGCTTTGAATGACTTTACTGATGAAGAAACTTGAGTTGAAACTCTAAACTCTTAGAAATGCAAGATATTATTATAAAGATGACATATTTACAGTGTATAGTAGAAACTATGGTTATCATGGTAAATTGTTGGAAGGTGAAGGATTGCTGAAAAAGGAGCTCATCTTTTTCTCCACACAGAGTGACTGAGGGGTTCGTTTGAGTTTAAATCAATTTAATAAAAGAAAATCCTCCCAACTTTTAGGTGGAAAGCTAAAAATACAAATAAACAATCCAAGGGGTTTTTAATATAATTATGTTTAGGAAGCTATAGTTTTCATACTGTCCCCATTCACACTAATGTATATTTGGTTTGGATTTTACACAAATCCATTGACCTTTTCTCATGTTTCAGTCTCATAAACTGAAGCCTGAAGATGTTACATGCATCACGTAGAGCAGAGGATATGGGCTGGTGTGGCCTAGTGGTCAAAGATCTGGGCTGGTAGGTTGTAGGTTCAAATCCCTCAAGTGATGATCCATTCATTACCACCACTGTGTCTTTTAGCAAGACATTTTTTTGCAGTATCATCCTCAGGAGGCCTGAAACTGCGAAAGGTTTATAAAAGCGCCAACACATTCGCTACTTTCAGTCCTGTTCCACTGAAGAAACTGATGCTGAATACCAGTGACATGCATCGTTAGATGCGCTATAGCAATGCAACAGACCCTTCCCAGTGTGCACATTTCCCACAATGGGCAAAAGCACATATGGGGTGAATGGACTCTCTAAAGCGGGCGTTATCGACGTGCTGTGCAACATCTGGACAGAGCCGTTTCTCCCGTATTTCACCATTGCAAATATTCACCGGACCAGATGTGCGGCGTAAACACAGAACGAGAAGTTCTTCAAACTTTCACTGAAGCTTTAGGAAAGGAAAGGAAAGGAAAGGACATTAGTGAGTCAGACTGAAACCATTAATGCTGATGTTTCTCTGATGCCCGTCCTCATTGCTACCATAAACACCATCCCGTTGTTATTTAAGGAAGAGATTTAGCCAAATCTAATAAGCATCCTGGAGATAAAGATGCCCCCGACAGGCCAGAAAGAGGAATTTAAAGGAGTCTAATTGGGGCGCTGAAGGAAAAGATCAATGTTTGAAGAGCAACTCGATGAAATCCAGATGTGTTCAGATGCGGCCCAAACATTAATAATGTGTTCTCACCAAAACCGCTTTAGCCACAAGAGTTCGGCAGGAGATTCGCCAGCACTGCACGTGTCTGAAACAAAATGAGTGTTACCTTACACCACTGATTTTCAACAGTTTACCAAATCGCTTGATAATCAAGGCACCGGGCCCAGGACTACTGCGCAGAGCAGATCCAAGTTCATGCCCACGCTGAGTGAGATAACAGCATATGGGAGAGATATGTAGACTTCTATTATCAGTTTTTAAAAGGGATAGTTCGCCCAAAATGAAGCAAGCATGCCTGTCAAACTTAAAACTACATTAGACAAAAATAAAATTAGTCCATGCAAACTTGTATGCTGCATTCCAAGTTTTGGGAGTCAGTTGATAGATTGGAACAGACTGAAATTTAAGTTATTCATTGGTAACATTTGTGATTCAATGATTCTTGAACAATGATTCCGACAACAAATTGTTTAGTCCAATTTGTGAGCAACTGAAATGTTTTTGCCACCTTAAAGGTGCAGTCACATTTACTGTTGCGTGGTGAAATTTGCAGTCATTCCAATAGGAATCCACGTGATATAGAGTTTCTTCTGAGGGCGAATAAGTTCCCCACACAGATTTCGCTCAAGTTCAAGTTGGTTATGCAAATTTGCCGTGCTGACCAACAGCATACCAGAGGTGTGCTTCATACATCTCTGCACTACTGACAATGGACCTACATTCTTAAAAATAAAGGTGCTTCACGATGCCATAGAAGAACCTTTTTGTCTAAATGGTTCCATAAAGAACCTTTAACATGTGAAGAACCTTTCTGTTTGACAAAAGGTTCTTTGTGGCGAAAGAAGGTTCTTCAGATTACAAAAAGGTAAGAAAGAGATGGTTCTTTAAAGAACCTTTGACTGAATGGTTCTTTGTGGAACCAAAAATGGTTCTTCTATGGCATCGCTTGAAGAACCTTTTGAAGCACCTTTATTTTTAAGAGTGTATTTTTGTGTCAAGCCTGGAATTAGCTTAAATTTCGCAGATGTGACCTTAAAGGCCTCAGTATATTCATGGCGAAGTTTTTTTTTTTTTCATTCTTCGCTTAGGGGTAAAAAGAAGTTTGAAATACATTTGCAGTGTTATACTGTAAGCGAACATCCCGACTCTACCCGTAGTGCTGAGAGAAGCTCTTTTCCAGCTCAGCAATTTAGCGACACAGTGTCACTTTCAATTTCTGCTATAAAGCAGCTCTTCGGTGTGTTCATGATTTTACTCTCGGACATCTGACCTCGATAGACTGAACAGAAGAAATTAACAAAAAAAAATGTCACATCAAAGAAGGCGGAGCTATAAACCAATCATAGTTCGAAGGGGATCACCAGTGGAGCTAATTTTTCCAGAAAGTTAGATATGGCAAGTTGTTTCAAACTCCCAAAACGAACTCCAAACAAACTTTGTTATGGCCTGATTTTATTTGAAATGACATCGCACCAGTTTGTTCCTAGCTTTCGCTTGAATTATATGGGGCCTTAAGCCCTTACAGTAGTAGTTCGCTGTGGAGTCCATATCACTGTAAATTAGGTAGAAGTGTGCTTTGAAGGTCTGCAAATGGATCCTTGTGAGCAAGCTTGTGAACTACAAATGTAACACCTCTGTTGACTTCACAAGTCCAGAAGCCTCAAATACACAGTGCATGAACTCTCTGACTCAATGGTCTGGTTCCTGCCGTTCTCCAGTTAAAGGCACAATATGTAAGATTTTTTAAATTAAAATATCCAAAAACCACTAGAACAGTGTTATATATTTTGCTGACTCGTGTACTTACATTATCCAAAATGCTTCGAAGAATGTTTAAATCCAGAGAAATAAGCAATTTTAACTAGTGACACGGACCGTGTCCATAGTGTCATTGTGTCGCCTGCCAATGACGTCATAACCCCTCGATTTCCGGTTTTGTTTTGAAGAAAACATGGATACGCCAAAGACTCTTTAATATGTTGTGCGTTTTAATCGACCGGCGACGACCGCACAGAGTAGCATTATAACAGAACTTTCAAATGTATCTAGTATGATAAAACAGCGCTGCTTTACCCCCACATACGCACGAGCCTTTGTCTCTTTGTTTATTTTTAATACGCGCCCTCTAGTGGCGAAAATTACATATTGTGCCTTTGAAGCTCACCGTTGGGAAGATTATCAGTGAATAATGTCTTACATTTCAGTGTGTTCCTCACACAAAGGATTCATATGATTCAGAAGACTTGAAATACTGTGCATGAGTTGTATAAACTACTTTGATAAGACAATAGGAGACAATAATGACATGTTTTGGGTGAACTGTTCCTGTATGGTCAACATTTAATAGTGCTGATCAGCAAATAAAGAGTGTAAGGAAGATGTTGAACTTGAAAACACTAGAAAGATTATGGATATGTTTTAGTGTGGGAGTTACAATGTGAGCTTTGCACATGAATGTAAACTGACTTCGGGAATGTCCTCGAAGCACCAGAGTGCAGTGAATCATGAGAGTCTGGGCCCCTCTCACTGGCCTCTCATTCATTTCTGCAGAAGAGACAGTCATAAAATAGCAACCAGAAACCTGATTTTGCTAATGTGAAAGGATATGAATGCTGATGACTCTAGTTATGTTTACTCTGCTTGCTTTTGTTTAAGACCCTTTGACATCAAAGAATCTTGAAAATAATGTATCACATTTTATGCTTAAAAATATTAAGCAGCACAGCTGTTTTCAACACTGATAATAATATATATATTTCTTGAGCAGCAAATCAGTATATTAGAATGATTTCTGAAGGATCATGTGACACTGAAGACTGAAATAATGACTGCTGAAAATTCAGCTTTGCCATCACTGGAATAACATTTTTAAATTTATCAAAATAGAAACAGTTATTTCATAAATATAATATAAAATATAAACAGTTGTTTTAAATTATAATAATATTTCACAATATTACTGTTTTATGTAATAAATGTAGCTTTGGTGAGCAAAAGAGACTTTCAAAAAGATGTAAAAAAAAAAATCTTACAGCCCCCAAAATTTTGAACGGCAGTGTGCATAATTTTAAAAACCAACTTAGAAAGAGGATGGTTATTTAAATTTCAATAAAGCGAAAATTCAGGCAATTTCTTTATATGTAGCCTATTAAAATGTATTGCTGATGTAAAACAAACATTTAAAGATAATACTATTTAAAAAGTAATTTCACATCACACGCTAAAAAGGGTAAAATCTGTCAAATTATATCAGTTTTACGTCACAGAGACACAAATTGGGCACAAATGGCACCATTTCCCGAGAACGACCCTTCTGATAATGTGTGTGACAGCTCCCACATGTATGAGATTACAAGTGTGCATGTACGTGTGTTTTAAGTATCTGCATATGTGTTTGTGTTTAATCTCCTTGTCTCTTTTGTTCAGAGTGCAGGAAACAGACATTGCAAAGGTATCAGAAAAGTGAAAACAGCCGGCTGCTTTGTACAGACTGTCCAGAATCTCCTCGAAGTAGAAATCTCTCACTGGATGACTGCGCACGCAAATGCAGCAAGAGCAAGAAGTCCTGCAGGTGACACATGCACATGTAATCAAACAAACACACAAGTTTAAAGGGATAGTTCACCTAAAAATTACAATTCTGTTATCATTTACTTACCATTTATTATTTATGTTGTTGTTGTTGTTTTTTAGTGTTATTTTGGTTTATACAGTTGACGTCAATGGGGACCAGTGTTGTTTTGAACCCCAATAACTGGACAAAAACATTCTTCAGAATATCTTCTTTTATGTTCTGCAGAACTTAATTTGTTATTGTTATTGTTAAAGTTATACAATGACAATAACAAATGAAGTAATCCAGGTTTGGAATGACATGACGGTATGTAAATGGGAACAGAATTGTCATTTTTGGGTGAAAAAATGGTTTAACAGATGAGACCCTCAACTGATCCATGTAGATCTCTGACCCAACAGTTGTCTTTAGTTTTCTCTACTTGACTCTTTACAGGACATTCTACTTTGACCACATAAACAGGAAATGTCACTTGCTTCCCTTCGACCGTTTCTCTGAAGGCGCAAAAAGAGAGCGAAAACCCAATTATGACCTTTATGAGAAGAAAGGTAAATATTTGCAATTCACTTTCAAAGAAGTCCACTCACACTTGACTTTTTACTTTTATTTCTTCTGAAGTTTCCTGTAAACCTTTTGTTGTAATACCGAGCAAATGCCAGTCGTGTTTGTTTAGATCGCTGGCTTTAAGTGTGAAATGACTCCTTCCTATGTATAAAATGACCTCTGTCATTGTAAACAACACATGCTTAAGACATTTGGCAGCAAACAAAGTATAAGAAAGCATGATGATAAGTGTTGACGTTAACAAGATGCCATATGTTTATGTTTCCAGCAAGAACTGGAGTTGAACATTTAGATTTATGCCGTAATCGACAGTAAAACTCTTGCTTGGAGACTTAAATCACCTCAGGATGTCAACGAAATGTATAATCTGTAAACATCATTTATCGTTTCAGATTATATGAATATCTGTGTGCCGTATGTTTTCCACAGATTATGTGAGAGAGTGCATCATTGGGTCAGGTGTCAACTACAAGGGAAGAAGGTCATTCACAAAGACTGGAATTACGTGTCAAGCCTGGAATATGTCCATCCCACATGAACACAAGTAAACATTTAATTTAATTTAATTTAATGTAAAAAAAAAACCAAAAAAAACAGAAAGTTTTTTTTTTAGTTTCATTTTTTAGACAGGCACCGATTAAAGTTCCCCTAAAAATTTGTCTCAGCCAATAGAAACATGCGCCAACATGCTGCATTGTGACTCGTCTTTGTTTCTTAGTGAATCGGGTTTTACAACAATGCAACCAGTGCATTCAATTAAAGCACAAACAATTTACATTAGTATAAATAGCATATCATTTCTATTTACACTTTGTGTGAATAGCATCTATCACTGTTTGCACTTGCTAATTGTTACAATTTACACTGTGTGCAAACATTATCTAACAATATTTATACTCTGTATAAATAGTATTTAAGATCTGTTACACCGTGTAAATAGCATCTACCTTTTTTTTACACTGTGTAAATATCTGGCGCTAATAAACAATGCTATTCATAGTGAATACTTGCTCTGTCTCTTAAACCACTCACTCCTCTGTAACTCTCTAAACTTCTCATTTGCAGCTTTCATATGGTCTCTGACAGCTAGCAATTTTCGCTATAGTCCTCACTGTTCCTAGCACAGACTTAGCCATTAGCTGTTAATCGCCACCAGCATGCTGTCTGCCAACAATCGCTGATTAGTCTGGACTGCAGATGAGATTGCTTTCAGGCCTGGCCGGTTGAGAGTCATCTTTCTGACAACAGAAGTTAAGTGGGACTGTACGGAGTGATGCCTTGACTGCGTGAACACGAGCCAATCTGTTAATGTGGTCAATTGTTTCCAGGTTCTTGTTAGCCAAGATGTTATTAGCTCTACGAGTTACACTGCTTACAAGCTGTATAAAGGTTTTAGAGGTGAGAGAATGAAAGAAAGATAGAGAAAGAACGAGAGGAGGAGGATTTATGGACTGAAGTCATGTTCTGTCTGCCCTCCAGCTGAGCTCACAAAGCCGCAGACACATTAAAATACGAGCAGCATTCGAGACTAGAGCACAGATGCTAATCCAGACATTCTCTTCCCCATGGATAACAGTACTTTCCGACTTCGAATCCCTTCGAACCTTTTTCCATGTGATAAGATCTTTTTCCTCTCAAACTCAAGCTTCTCAATCTGTCCACCAGCACAACATGTCCACCTGCCCCATCCATTCGGCCAAGCCAAATGGGGAGACAGCAGAAAACAATCAGAGAGAAGGTGATAAGATCCAAGTAAATCTTCTCTGAGAAAACAAAAAACACAAGCCCTTTTTCTACCAACAAGGTGTTGGTGCTGGTTCCAGAGCCGGTGGGCAGCCAACAGCGACCTGCTGCCCTGAAATGTCACTTTTTGAGATGTAAACCTTTTGTACAAACAGAAACGAAAGGTTTCCAATAAATGACCAGTTTTGACCAGTGAATTGCATTCAGAGTGCAAGAGTATCTGTTGGCAGCCAGAGAGAAATAGCTGGCTAACATCTGTTAGCACAACATCATTAGCTGTAGAGATCTCAGGCCTCATGTGGAACCAGCCACAAGATCCAGATGCAGGAATACAGTCCAATCCAGCACTGCAAGCCTTTCAAAACCCAGTTGTTTAAGCAATTCATCTGCTCTGCATGGCTTTTGTTTAGATGGTGTCCTGATTTGGTGCCATTCTAACTTATGTTGATGTTTTAGAAGCAACAGGATTTTTCCAGATCATTTCAAAGGTTTGGGTTCACTTAGATTTAGATCATCAGATAGCATCTGTTGGGGCACAATATGCTTGGTTTACATGGTTGTTAGCTGGTCCAGGCTGGTTTAGACGATTGATTCAAGTCAACCTGGTAGAGGGTTCCTCTAATCCTGCTCAGAGTTTAGCTCCAACCCTAATTAAAGACACCTGAGCAAGCTAATCACAGAGTTACTAGAAAGTAGATATAGGTAGGTGAGTTCGATCAAGGTATGAGCTAAACTCTGCAGGGCAGTGGCCCTCCAGGGCTGGATTTGAGGGTACCTGTGGAAGACCATCCATACTGCTTATTATATATAGCAGTGATTCTCAATTCCAGCCCTGGGATACCACTGCTCTGCACACTTTGTATGTCTTCCTTATTTAACGCACATGATTCAGATCATCGGCTCGTTAGGAGGGAGATCCATGAACTGAACCGAGGGCATCAGATAAGAGAGACATACAAAATGTGCAGACCAGTGGTGACCCAGGACTGGAATTGAGAACCACTGGTGTATAGGACTGTGGGACCTGGTTGACCAGGGGTGTCCAATTTTGCTCCTGGAGGGCCACTTTCCTGCACAGTTTAGCTCCAACCTTCTCCAACATGCCTGTTCAGAATTATTTGTAATCCAGAAAACCTTGATCAACTGGTTCAGGTGTATAAGGTGGCCCCTCCAGGAGCAGTATTGGACACCCCTGTGGTAGACCCTTTTGGTCATCCTGTAGAATGTAGACTATCCTGGTGTGGACCTCTGCTGAAAGACCACCAGGTTTCTTAAGCTTGTTCTTAAGGTTTCTTAACATGTGTCATCACTACGACACACCCTTTACGGCATTGGTCCTGCCTTTTTTTTCCACACTGGGCTCGTTCCAGGACTGATTCCGGCAATGTTACTGGGCCCATCCCGGGGCCTAGTAACATGTTTGGGTTCACACAGAAGTCACTCTGGCAAATTTCCGGCATTTTTCCGGGATCAACGCTCTGTGTGAAAGGGGCTTTAACTAGCTCCATCAGGTAGCCAACCAGCTTCACAGGAATGACCATGCTGGTCAAACTGCTTCATCTGCTGAGTTTTTTCTGTTGAACAGCATAGCTATGCAAGTTCTCAAGCTGAACCAGCACTAGCACAAACTCAAAATTCATACTTGTCTAAGCTGATATTTTTGGCTAATTGATCTGAATTGTTCAATCAATATTCTAAAAGACCAGGGCTGCGTTTCCCGATAACGGTGTCTCTTAGCGCGCTACGAAGACTCTAAAGGTACACCTTAACTAGGGGTATACCTTTCCTAGGTGTGTTCCCCGAACTATACCTTAGGAGGCTGCTTAAGATATACCTTTTTACGTGCGACGTTACCAGGTGCTGTCCATGGCGGTGGTGCTGAATTGGTTGATATCCATGGCTCGAGAATCGATTATTCATTCTATGCACGGGCCGCTTCACTGCGTTATGTGAGAAAACAGTGTTCTTTATAAAAGAAGTGTTTATTTTAAATAACGACATGGAACCTTTTCCTCTTAGAACACAAAGAACTTGCGTGAAACTTTTACTTTCGCTTTGCAACATACATCATGTCAGGGAAGAAAACCAAAAAATAAAATTATATTCCCAGAGCACATCCCAGTGGTCACCACATAAAATACAAGGGAAAAACATGAGACACTGCTTAATAATTGAACATCTTCTAACAAAAGACAAAACAAAAACAAAAAAAACATAGGCCTACACAAGTCCAAAAGAAAACTATTCTGGTAAGAGTGCTTTCCAACAAGAAGAACTTCAGTTCAAATTGTATTTATCAGGACTCATGGGATCTTATAAAAATAATCAAAATTGCAAACTAAATCCATAATATGGATATATTTTATATAATTTTGAATTGAATTGAATTGAACCCGCAACCTCATGCCCAAACCTATGCCTTCGCTGCCTTTGAAAGGGTCATTTATATTCTCATAATATATTTTCCATAATGTCTTAATTTACTCCACAACCAGGGTTGACTGCCCAGCAGCCGCATAACATATTGGTGTAAATCACTAATTTCTGTTATTGGATGACCTACTCAATAAAAACGCAACAGGAGAAACATATAATCAACAGCTAGTACTATTGCGGAGAAAAAGAGAGAAAGAGCCGCCAGCAGCTGAATTTGTCTCGGCAAAATCGGAGCAACAAGTCAAGATCTAAAAGCTGCTGAATTTGCTGCTGTGCCGGCAGTAATAATAATAAATAAATAAAAAATAATAATAATAAAAAATTCTAAAGTTTTAGTGCACATATACACTATATGGCTCCACGGACGGCATCATCTTTGATTTTGCACAACTATTATATTCGTATAGAATGAGACGTAAAGAAATGTGAACTGTCAAAAGTGATAAGGAATAGCTAAGAGTGGTCCAGACCAACCTTACGAACGAATGACTTACAGAAGGTATACTTAACTAAGAACGTTTCGGGAAACACGTATTAACGTAAAGGTACAACTTAAGGTATAACTTACGAACGACGTAGCATTAAGAAGGTTTCGGGAAACGCAGCCCAGATCATTTTATGTTACCAGGTGCTGTCCATGGCGGTGGTGCTGAATTGGTTGATATCGATGGCTCAAGATTATTCACTATGTGCAGGGGCTGCTTCAGTGCGTTATGTGAGAAAGCGGTGTTCTTTATAAAAGAAGATTTGATTAAAAAAAAAAGACACAGAACTCTTTCCTGTTATAACACAACAAACTTGTGTGAAACTTTTACTTTCGCTTTGCAACATACATCATGTCAGGGAAGAAAACCAAAAAAGAAAATTATATTCCCAGAGCACCTCCCAGTGATCACCACATAAAATACAAGGGAAAAACATGAGACACTGCTTAATAATTTAACGTCTTCTAACAAAAGACAAAAAAAAAAACATAGGCCTACACAAGTCCAACAGAAAACTATTCTGGTAAGAGTGCTTTCCAACAAGAAGCACTTCAGTTCAAATTGTATTTATCAGGACTCATGGGATCTTATAAAAATAATCAAAATTGCAAACTAAATCCATAATATGGATATATTTTATATAATTTCGAAATGAGTGCATGAACCCGCAACCTCATGCTCAAACCTATCATGAGTATCACTAACTGGCAGTATGCCTTCGCTGCCTTTGAAAGGGTTATTTATATTCTCATAATATATTTTCCATAGTGTCTTAATTTACTCCACAACCAGGGTTGACTGCCCAGCAGCCGCATAACATATTGGTGTAAATCACTAATTTCTGTTATTGGATGACCTACTCAATAAAAACGCAACAGGAGAAACATATAATCAACAGCTAGTACTATTGCGGAGAAAAAGAGAGAAAGAGCCGCCAGCAGCTGAATTTGTCTCGGCAAAATCGGAGCAACAAGTCAAGATCTAAAAGCTGCTGAATTTGCTGCTGTGCCGGCAGTAATAATAATAAATAAATAAAAAATAATAATAATAAAAAATTCTAAAGTTTTAGTGCACATATACACTATATGGCTCCACGGACGGCATCATCTTTGATTTTGCACAACTATTATATTCGTATAGAATGAGACGTAAAGAAATGTGAACTGTCAAAAGTGATAAGGAATAGCTAAGAGTGGTCCAGACCAACCTTACGAACGAATGACTTACAGAAGGTATACTTAACTAAGAACGTTTCGGGAAACACGTATTAACGTAAAGGTACAACTTAAGGTATAACTTACGAACGACGTAGCATTAAGAAGGTTTCGGGAAATGCAGCCCAGGTCTGTCCAGTCCTGCTTCTGGAACACTCTGCAACATTCTTTTCCAGCCTGTTCCAACACACCTGCCTGGAAGTTTCTAGCAATCTTGAAGCCCCCGAATAGCTCTTTCGTGTGTTTTAATAGAGTTCGAGCTAAACTCTGCAGGACAGTGGCCCTCCAGGAAAATGGCTGGACACCCCTGAAAAAGACAATTTGAGCTGGTTGATCACAATAACAAAATTTCTGTTTCTAAATGCATTCCCTCTCTTCTTATTTGTATATTTATTTATCAGTTTCAAGCCTGCAAGGCACAAAAAGTTTGACCTGCGACAGAACTTCTGCCGAAACCCAGACAATGATCCAAGTGGACCCTGGTGCTTCACTGAACTCACTGAGACTCGGCACCAGGAATGTGGGCTGCCCCTGTGTTCAGAAGGTTAGAGATGACTTCATCAATACTATATAGTACCGTATGTCAGTATATTTGTGTTTGTTGTCTGCATGATAGTGCACTATTGTGTGCATTTGGTGTTTGTAATACCTGTGTGCATGTGTGTTTGTAGTGGAGTGTATGAAGTGTAATGGGGAAACATACAGAGGGCCCATGGATCACACAGAGAGTGGGAAAGAGTGCCAGAGATGGGACTCACAGAAACCTCATAAACACACCTACCAGCCTCACAGGTACATATTCACATGTACACACAGACACACACACACACCCCAACTGTGTGTTTTACAATATGCTCCTTTGTATCTGTATTTATAGGTATGTAGGTAAAGGCCTGGATGACAACTACTGCCGCAATCCCAATAATGACGTGCGTCCGTGGTGTTACACGATGGACAAAAACACACCATGGGAGTACTGTATAATCAGTGTGTGTGGTATGTTCACTTTTCCACCTTTCATTCTATAAAACATTTGTCATTATATTGTTGAATACTAATCAGAATATTGTCTGTCTTGACTTTAATTCAAGCTAAATGTTTCTAGCGCATGTGAAGGAAACCACTCTCCTATTGCAGATACTTGTATGTGTGTGTGTGAAATTTAATTTAGCCCAGGGATTGTGTACAGGTGCACTGACTTGTAAATCTTGTGGTTCAGGTGTTACTCCTGTATTTCATTCATGGCATCTTTCCAATGGAAACATTTTTCAAATGCTGATGCTTGGAATTCCTGCCATTCTCTCTCCCTTTCTCTTGTTCAGACTCCGATAATGATGTGGAAGTGGAGGTGACCACCTCTTGTTTTCAGGGTCAGGGAGAGGTTTACAGGGGTACAGTCAATGTGACCCCTGCAGGTGTGACCTGTCAACGCTGGGACGCCCTCTTTCCTCACAACCATTCATACACACCGCACAACTATAAATGCAAGTGAGTCATGCTACACTTATGTTTTTCAGGACACCTTAGCATGTTGCTGTGTGGTTGCTAAGGTGTTCTGATGATTTCTAGGACTGTTAGGTAGTTGCTGGGTAATATAGCTAAAAATATATAAAATATTAAAATACATATTTTATATATTTCTTACAGCCTTTTGGTGAACCTTAATTACCATCAAACAGCTACTGAAACCAATTAGATTCAGACTAATTGATGAAATGTAGAAGGCATGTTTTCTACAATGTGTTTTGCTAAATTTGCATTTTCAACAATATACAGTACAGTAATATTTACCTGCATTCATTTTAAATAAAACTTTTTAATATATAAAACGTCACATGGAAAAAAAATCATTTGAATCATTGAATCAAGAGTTTTGAATCAGTTAAGTGACAGTTTGATTTATTTTTTAACATTGTCATTCTAGCAGGTTACAAGTCTAATGATGCCTTCTTTAGGAAACTTAATGACCAAATAAAAAAATGCATAAAATTTTCACAATGATGCTTAATTTATTTTTACAGGAAAAACATTGCAAATATACAGTATTGTAAATATTTGAAACATTGCCCTAGTTGCTAGGTGGTTGCTTACTGGCGAAAGTCGAAAGAAGCAAATTCCAAGTTTTTTCAATATTCTAGCTCCTAGTTATGGGCTAGGATTTGGGGTTTGCTCACATCTGACTGATCCTAAACCACTACTGACATCCTGAAAAAGAATAAGCAAGAAAAATATACATGCAAAAATGATTTGACAAAATTGTTTGTGTTTGTGTCCCACCCAGGGATCTCAGGGAGAACTTTTGCAGAAACCCTGATGGCTCTGAAATTCCCTGGTGTTTCACAACAGACCCAAAAGTACGCAAAGCTTTCTGTACCAACATCCCCAGATGTGAGTCAGAGAGCTCTGACAGCACAGGTGAGCCCACACACACACATCTTACACACTCTCACACATGTATTGCACCGCATGGCTAGGAATCATGAACCATGTTTAGCCACATAATGAATTGTGTTGTTCCAAAACGCTTAGCTCATCATAATTTACAAGAATTTTAATGATGAAAGACAAAGATGTTTTGCGCACAGGCGCCGTCATGGACGTATGGAGACTGCCTGTAAAGATCTGGCACCCAGCTCAAGTGTGGTTTTGTTCTGGGTACCCTCACATTCCCCTTCATCTGTGTCACACAAGCAGTAATAAAAGAAATAGATTATTCTGTACAAATTGTGTAGTCCGTTTTAAAATTCTGTTAGAATAATCTCTTGTTTTCATGTACTGTATGTTCCAGCTTTGTGTTTCAAAAGACACATTTCTCACCAGAAGAGTCCCTTTGAGGTTTCAGGTCAGAGAGACAGGGCAGTGCCTCTCTGGATTCACTCAAACTTCAGTCAGATGTTGGCACAGACAAAAGCTTTTTTCCCTTACATGTTTGCCAACCACCAATTGTAAAGTGGCCCCTGACGTGAAATTGGCCCTGCCCCACTAATAAAATGCTATTTCAAACATGCTTACTTCATGACAGCATGGATACAATCAGCAAATCCATAAATAATCTAAACATGGAGCTTTGAATAAGCATGGATTTTACTGAAGGTACATGCATGTTTATATTTGTTGACATTGTTATCTTTATGTCTGTTTTATCTGTGTCCTAGAATGTTATGAAGACAATGGGGAGAGTTACCGTGGTAATTTGTCGAAAACAAGATCTGGTATTCCTTGTGGGCTGTGGTCCGACCACACATTCAGGTACATGTTTCCATGAAATCACTGAAACCATTAAAAGCTACCATGTGTCATTTTTTTCAAAGTCAAAATACGCCTTATTCCAGTGTTCAAAGAAAACGTCTCAGGTTACTTATGTAACCATGGTTCCCTGAGGTCCCCCTTCAAACTCATCGGCCAGATCCACCTGTGATCCACACAAGCTCATTCGCTTCCGTGCCTCAGCAGCGGCGGGTCCTGGATCGCGGGAAGCAGATGGCTGCCCCTCTTTCCTCGAAAAGAGAGACAAACGAGAGCGGAGCTTTTTCCCTTGGAAAAAATGCTCGCAGTGCATGCCGATTGCCCCCTCGGAGACATCGCGTGCGTGCTCTTTGCCCAAACAAAACAACGCATAGATCGTGTGTGTCATCAGATGTTAAACAACGTCAACACGGATGCACACATCCTTAAATGCTTTGCTAGTGCTCGCCATAATGAGATAAATAGAGATCGCTCTTACCACAGAAATGCACGCTTCAAACAAAACAGTCAATGAAGACGAAGAAGAGAATGATGTGTGCTCCCGGCGCCTATTTATACTATAGTCGCACCGGTAGTGACGTCATGGCTGTCGCCGGCCAACGAGTTGGTGTTTTTTCAATGTATGCTTCAGACACGGGTCACGACGAGGCGTTCCCCATAGCGACCCCTAGAGGACGCAGTTCGAAGTTCCCATGAAAGGGAACCTCTGGCTGCCATTGTCCAAAATCATAAGTAGGGCTGTACACTTAATCAACTGTGTTATGGACTAGTGTCAATTGAAAATATTACACTGCAAAAGACTATTTAAGCTATTTAAATATCTGTATCTGTTTGAATGAGCAGCGCAGGTCTACACTACAACCTGCCAAAATAAAAGTTTGTATTATCTTGAAGAATTGATGACAGATATATATTACTATTGTACAATAGAATGTACTCCTGGTAATAATAATAATACAATTTATTAAAACCTTATTTTTTAAGGAATTTTGTAGAATATCAAATATTTTTCATTCATATTTTTAATTTAAACCTCTGTTTTGCAGCTCAAAAATAAAAGCAATTGTGAATTTTTCATTAAATCGTTAAAGCAGAACAGATTTTATAGGGCTCTAATAACCTATATGGAAACAGTCAATATTTTTGAACTTCCATTTGGTAATACTACAGAAATGACACGCTTGACAATTAATGGAGCATGTCCATTATAGAGAGTACTGGTCAGTCAATGTTTGTTTCTCAATGACAGATTTTTTTTTAATTTAAGAAGCTGTAAACACTTTCAATGCTAATCTTTTAAAAAAGGTAGTTAACTTAATTATGCAATGAATTGAGAGAAAAAACATCCAAGATGGCCGGCAAATAAGCAAAATGTTGATATAATATACTATAAAAAATAATTATTTCAATGCTCAATATTAAGTTATCAATTAAAAATGGCAAAAATTTTAAATAATGACTGTTTTACCTGAAATTTGTGTATTTTATCCAAAATCTTAACAGATATTGTGTATTGAGTATTGTGTCATTCATCTTGCATCGCCTTCACTGAAATCAGTTGTGAGTGTTTTGTGCTTTTCCATGTTTTACATTATGGCACCTGACTATGTAGATCACTCCAGTCCAAACCGTCCACGGACAGTGTCAGACCATCACGGAACGCGGACGGCCAATGTATTCTTTGGGCTTTGGTCACTCACGATGTTCCATTCTAGTTAGAATGCTGCCTTAGAAGGCAGCTGTCTATCTAGGCAGTGAGGCAGTTCACTAGGTTTTGAAATATTTAATGCTTCTTTGCACTTTTGCTCTCTCTTGGGTTCCTGTTGACTCTTGTAACCAGAACCACTTCTTTGTAGAAGTTATTTATTAGCAGTGATGTTGAGTTTGCTTTGAAAGGCAGTTATCAGGCAGTATTACAACATTGAAAGAGAACTAAGGGCAGTGATAACAAACAGAAAAGGGAGAGCCGGGCCACTCATATTCATCATTGATACACTGAGGACAGAAAATACCACACATTGTTCCACGGGAGACAAATGCCCCATAAAGCAGCTCGCTCAGCATCCTGTAGTCCCTCCGCTCGGACTAAGCTGTTAACATTACTTAATTTACAGGAATTTTAAAAGCCAAAATGGCACAGACAGATGGACATGTTGCAGGAGTGACCTCTGACCCCAGGAAGTGCTGTCCCCCGCTCTCAAAACACGGGCAGATCAAAGCCAATCAGCTTCTTCAAATGGCGTCCAGCCAGTGAGTCTGCCTCACTTGGGGTCGAAAGGTTGTCTCTGAGAAAACCCAACGTTGGCTTGTTCAGCGGTCACTGGGGACAAGAAATTACCTCTCCACTCTATCACTCTTTGCTTCCTATACATTTTTCATTCTGGGTTTTCAGCCCCTGCGTTCCGAGGGCTGTCTGTCTCGCTCTAGGATTTATTTTCTTTGTAAGTCAACTCTGTAGAAGTCGCTTGGCGTGCAGTTTCACGCTGGCTTGAGGACAGGTGGTGTAATACGCAGAGCCGCACTGACAGTTCTGAGTTCATACTTTCAAACTTTTATGGGTGCTGGAGGGATGATTTTAATATGATTCCTTCTTTGAACATCTTGTCACACAATGACATACGAGTCAACATTTCCATTTCTCTTGTGCTGGCCTGTTTCTCTGAACTGAGTAGCTGATTTCCTGTTCTTTGTTTTTGTGTGTGTGTAGGAGAGACACGCAGTCAGCGAAGGCCAGCGCGGGCTTAGAGTTGAACTTGTGCAGGAATCCAGACCGAGATAAGCACGGGCCATGGTGTTACACGTCCAACTCCTCCATTCCCTGGGACTACTGTGGACTAGAGCGATGTGAGTTTCCTACTTCCTGTTTCTCTTCTCTTTTCTTTGGTTAAAAGACCAGTGTAGACAAGCATATATCTACCTGTCTGTCTGTATGTCTATCTGTCTATACCATACGTCAGTTTGTATGCCTTTGTATACTTCATCTGTCCATCCATGCATTGTCAATCTGTATATTTATCCATCCATCCGTCCATTCATCATTTTGTCTTTGTTCTATCTTTATGTCTGGACTTTTTCCCTGTACTAGTTAAAAACTACATGTATAACTGTTAGTTACATTAATTTATTCGATATGCAGTAAATTTTCTACTTCCCTAAATTCCTTTCCTTGAAATTCTACATTCTACAACCTCATTTCAAATTCAGGAATCCAGTTGGAAAGTAAAACACATTCTCAATGTAATTCTGAATGGCACACAACTCTGGTTATGATGACAGACAGGGTCTCTTGACCTCCATGCCTGGGGTATTTTGTTATCATTTGTAGCTTTCAAAGCCTGTTGGATATTATGTAGTGAGTTTGTGTCTGTGGTTATTGTTTCCTCGAACGAGGCGTCACACTACAACACCAGACAGTTGCAATCCTCTTCATCTATGTGCCCATGCAGCTGTGTCACTGCAGCTGGATTTTTATAACTGTTTCATTCAGGCACGTTTGTGATGGTCAGCTAGTGCATGTTGATGAATGAGATGCTGTTTGTGTAGGCTTGGCATTCGACATCATAATAGGAAACATGTTCTGGGTATAGTTCCATAATTATACAGTATATAGGTTTATCCAAATTACATTAGATTCTTTTTAAGTTTCAACAATATCACCATTTTAATTAATGAAAATTTGAGTTTGTTTTTTTTTTTTTTTTAACAAGGGGTAATATGCACATCAAATGTTTAATTATAAATATTTTGTTTCTGGTTTTGAGTGCAAACTAACATTTAATGTCTTTATTATTCAGGTAAATCAGTGTCATCTGATGACCATCAAAAGAGTAAGTTTATATCAATTCTTTTTAGCAGTGGGTTAACTGGTAACCATGCAGTGGTTCTCAATTGGTGGGTCGCTGGCCTCTTGTGGTCACAAGCACCAAAGAAAAAAATATGCTAAATGCAAATAATAAAATAAAACAGAATAAAATCATATAAAAAAAATAAATACGAAATAAAACATTTAAGCACTAAGCAAAATAAAGACATATCTACAAGTGTCCTATTGATTTGTATAGACTCAGATGATTCATTTGCTTTGCTTTCACAAGCTGTACATAATTGTCAATTTCTTTTTTTTTTTCAGCCTGTTATTTTTTCTTATTATTGGGCCTGCACAGTTTTGTGTTTTTATGTTCAATGTCAAATCTGGGTCCGGAAACCACTTGACTATGATATTCTATAGTGCATATACATTGTCTTTTTTTACTGTACTATATTTTTCATGAAGTCTTCTCTAACAGTTACCTCTTTTGCTCTCAGCAGGTGAAGGACCAAAACCATCTTGTTTTATACACAAAACCACACGGATTGTTGGGGGGATGCAGGTACAGCGGGCAGAGGATGGAAGCTGGGTGGTCAGCATTCAGAAAGGGTACACACTTCCTGTTTGATCAGTATGAAGTATTATGTATAATCTAAGTCACTCTAGAGTACTGTGATGTTTTAAATGCATATTAAATATACACAGAATATGGTAACATCTAAATTAACTAGTTTTATTCAGATCAAAAATATTATATAACATAGACGAAAGAATGTAAATGCATTAATTTCAATCATGACAAGTTTCAGAATAGTTTTAGCATGTTAATGGACATGACAATGTTAAAGTATTTGTTCTTGTTGGACTAGATTTGCTATGCACGCTGCTGCAGAGCAAGTATGGACTTGCTACTGCCAACATATACACACTGCTGCTGCATGAATAGGCATATAGCCTGGATCTAGGCAGATCTAGACAGGTGGAGCTGGGGGAGGTGGAAGGTTTTAGAGAAAATCTTATAGTGTGATGCAGGACCAGCTTAGAGCTAACTGATGTAGACTATTTAAATGTTGAGCAAGCAACATCATAGTCTTCAAAATCAGCAGGGGCCATTCGGCTTGTGCCATGTAGGAAATGATGTGATTGCAAGCAGATTGCATGTAAACCCATACAGAGTTTCATGACTGAACTAGATATTTATACCTTCAAAACTAATTTCATAGGTTAAATCAGGTAAAAAGCTTTTTTTAGGTAAGAATTGCAGCACTTACAACACTCTACATGTATAGCATTACAATATAATTTAAGGAAAGTACATTTTCTATCGGAAAAAAAAGTTTGAGAATGAGCATAACATATACTTTACAAAATGTCAAATTTACTTGTATTTTGTATTGCACATGTTGAGTGTCTTATTAAAAAAGGTTTAAAAACATTTGCAACTTATGTGGAACACTAAAATATTGTTTGTAGTTTAATGTTTTTTTTTGTTTTTGAAATGGCATTTTGATTTAGGATATTTGGCTAAAATAAGTTTTAGTATCTAGAAAATTCAGAAAAATATGTGATATTTATAGCATGGGCGACAGTAGTTCTTGTAGCCCTAACGACTCATTCTGATTGGTTCTCCTCCTACAGGAACAGACATTGGTGCGGTGGCTCTCTCATCAGAGAGGAATGGGTTCTGACTGATCAGCAGTGCTTCTCTACCTGGTAATCCTTCCATTCAACCCATCTTACATCCGCTAATAACTAGCCACTCTCTCTTGGCAATACAGACCACATTTGACTTTTCCTCATTCTTGGGTGTGCATGATTCTGGCCCGTCCCGGCCTTGTGTTCCCATCTGTCAGTTGATGTTTTCTATGAGATGTGTGGCTCCAGAGTTTCCGGTTTTAGAGAGAGTAGTGACAGATCCGCTCAAGTTGTGACTGATGGCTCTCTACTCTGTCAGTGGTGCATCTGTTTAGACTCCGTGTTCGGCTGCATGATATATGTCTGTGGATCTGCTTCAGTGACACTTGAGTGAAAACCTGCTGGCTCTGTTTAGTTTGAGGGGGGAAAGGGGGACAGAAGGAGAACGAGAGCGTGCGTGTCTGGCTTTTAGATCATCTCTACATTCCCCAGATCCGCTCCCTGGTGGGTTCAGCTATCTTGTGCTTCGCATGAAGGCACAGGCAGGGCTGGATGCTAGAACTGACCTATGTGCCTTGATCAGCACTGGAGATGACTTTACCAGGGACGCTCGCCAACTTACATATGTCACACTTGTAGAAAGTCTGCTCCGCTTCATCTGCGATCCACATCAGATTATATATGTTCAGAAGGCTAAAATGACTAATCAACATTTTACTCTGATACTCTAGTTGCATATTTTAGTTGACATGTAACTCATGTACTTGACATATATGCTTATATATATATATATATAGTGTTTCTTGCGCGTTCCTCAGCGTTCCTGACCTCTCGGAGTACACCGTGCAGGTGGGGCTTCTTCATCTTAACGCGTCCTCCGGCACACAGGGTCTCCGGATCGCACATGTGGTCTGCGGGCCTGAGGGATCCAACTTGGCCCTGCTCAAACTCACAACGTAAGTGCATTTATCCATCTGCCCATTCATCTTTTCATTCATCCAGCCATCCTTTTGGTAACTCACAGTCTTATGCCCAGGCCTGCCCCTCTCTCTGAGCATGTGCGAACTGTGCTGCTTCCTGTCGCAGGATGTGCTGTTGCAGAAGGCACCTACTGCCTCATGTATGGCTGGGGAGACACTAAAGGTACTATTCTATTCTATTCTGCAACATTGGCTACATTTACATGTGCACCATTAATGTGATTATTTCCAATAATCAGAATAAAGACTTAATTGTAGTAAAATGGTTACATGCCTATTTTTTTTATTACTTAATTCTTAATCGCATCAATTCGATCAAAATCTCATTATGATTTTCCATACAAATGTAATCATTGTTAAACTGTTAATTTCAGTTTTATTTTTTGGTTGGAAACCCCACTCCCCCCAAAAAAGTATTTTAAATAATTACTACATATTTCTCTGGTTATAATATGCAAATTGCAAAATAACAAAATAGAGTCTGAAGGGTTCAATTATGTTCGATCAAAGTATTGTTTACATTAGGTAAAGTTTAATCGGAATGTTGCTTAAATCTTATTATTATCTCATTATGAGGGTCAATGTAAACATAGTCATTGTTGATTTTATTTTTGGGTTGAAAACCTAAAGAAATGTCTTTTAACTAATTATTACATATTTCTCTGGTTATTATATGCAAAATAATTGAGTCTGAGGACTGTTGAATTATTACAAAAAATTATGAATATCCAAGTGATCCATTGTTAATTATTCTTTACTGTTTGCATTCTGTTTCGACTCTGTTCTGTGAAAGTTACTATATGTATTTTTTTTTTTTTACATTAAATAAATTTGATAATATTAATATTTCTATTTCATTCCTACCTTTTTTCCTTCCTTTTTCCTTCGAACTAGTGCTAATATAAACTGGACTTTAAAAACACAGCTCCAGAATGCATTCAGATGGTCTTGATAATAATCCCAATGAATTATGACCTCTTTTATTCATGTTTGTATCTTGTGGAACAAGAACAAGATACACAAATATTTAATGTGACTCTGCATCATTAAAATACACACTAGCACAAACTAAACATTCTTTGCTCATATTTAACTAATTTTTCCAAACCCGTGTTGAGTTATTTAGACACATAGGGCCAAATAAATAAAGGTAATTGATTTTGCATTCAAACCTTTCCAGACCATTACATTTCTATTAAAACTGACCCTTAGACCTCTCTGTTAGGCACAGGTCATGAGGGCAGTCTGAAGTTGGTGAGGCTTCCGATTGTCAGCAACAAGAGGTGTTCTCAAAGCCACAAGGGTATTCTGCCCATTACAGAGACTAAAATCTGTGCTGGAGGCAAGAGAGACCAAGGTGTTTGTGAGGTACGAGTCAGTTCCTGGTTTTTGAGGAGTATCGTTTCAGATGACGGTGTTTGTTTCATGAGTGTGACCTCTATTCTTATCGATTCACCTCTTACAGAAAGACTACGGTGGCCCATTGGTGTGCCAGGAAAGCGAGAGCAAGGTCATAGTGGGTGTGAGCATCAACGGCCGCGGATGTGCCGTCGCCAGGCGTCCTGCCGTCTTCGTCAACGTGGCCTTCTACTCTGAATGGATCCGCAAAGTCTTCAAATACTATTCAGACATGGAAATAAGTTCCTAGATTATTATATTTTCCACAGATGTGGTGACTAGAACTCATGGTGCATTACGGTTTTTAGCATCTACAGCATATGAAGACCACGGTTGCTGTATGATTGGTATACAAACAACTTGGAGGTCAGAGTTTGGTTTGTTTTTTAGCTTAAATTAAAACCACTAGTACGGAAAAGGTGCAAGACTATCTGATGTTTTTGCAAACAAACTGCAAAAATCTGACATCAGACATGATTTTTTTAAACCAACAAATGGAGGAAATGACAACTTTTAAACTCTCTGGGAGATTGTTGTGGCTGGTGATTTAGCCCTCATAAATGAAGGACAGATGGATAAATGAAGAAAGAAAAACAATTAGAAGAAACTGGTGTTAATCCACATGAACATATTTGTCTCAGAGCAGAAGTTGTTCTAAATGTCATTCCCTGGAGATACTTGAAGATGGCAATAAGTCGACATTTTCAGACAGGACGGAGCTTTTGTTTTCACTGGGGTGCATTTTTCAGACATTATAACTTGTTCACATCTGAATTTTCTTCAATGTACGTCATTTTAAAGGTTTAAGGTGCAACATATAAGGACAGTGTTCCATATCACTGTTCCCAAAACACCATTTTCAACATCAACCACTTCAGCTGTCTTCACCGCGGTTGGTATACATGCTTGAATGGGATGTTATCACACACCACCAGAAGGGTTCAGTGACATTCTAATGTTTTGCACCTTGCCTTACTCCAGTTTGGAGCATTCTGTGGCCCCTTTGGGGCTGTTTCGTGTACTGCACTCCAAAGAGTGTGCTAATGTCACTCTGTACATCCATAGGTCTTATAGATCTGAAATTACAAACATCTGAAGGTCTTTCCTTTCACATGGTGTAATATATCTGTCGTAAATTTTATATGCAGTTTGTGAAGTATTTATTAATGTCTTTTATAGATAGACCAAAGTCATGGCATTTCATCCTCCAGAAGTGTTTATTGTGTTTAATCTGGCATGTAGATTTGAAACATAACATTTGTAAACAAAACAAAAGGACAATATGTCTTTAAAGAACAATATTGGGTCATAGCAGTGTTTCAACTCGAATATGGCTCCCTGAAGGTTTATAAGCCGCACATTTGTGCGTCGTCCATGTGGAGGGTCTTTTAAGTCCCAGTTTAGCCAAGAGTGCAAAGATACTTAATCAAACTGCAGTACTAAATAGAGTAATACAGTCGACAACAGGCAGGGTAACTGTTTTAACTAATGTTTATTGCCTTTTTTAATACGGAAATTTATTGTAAATATTATGTTCGCTATGTATATAAGGTGCCTGTTTTTTTTACATTTTATCAATTTTTACACTTGTTTTTGTATTGTTAACACCGGTTTTGTGATTTTGTGCGCTGCTGCCATCAATGGTCTTAATATTGAATATCTAGGCTGCTGTTATTTTGAACACTTTTTATAGACTGTTTTGTATTTTCAACTTTTAAAATGTAAGTAAAATATACCTGTGGCATTTTTTGTTCCATTTGTAAATAATTAAAACCTTTAAAAAAAGTTGTTTTTTTGGGGGGGATAATTTAAAACTAAAAAAGCACATAGCAAAATGACTAAAACTTAAAATTAAAAATATATTTTTTTTATATTTTGAAAATATTAAAAAAGCTCATTCAAAATATCAATAAATTTACATTTATGCATTTAGCAGATGATGTTCTCCAAGGCGACTTACAAAAGATGAACATAAGCAATACTATAATAGTATATAGATAATACTTAAATAGCACTGCTATTAAATGAAAAATGGCTGATCATTTGATGTTCTAATGTATTGTTACTTTCCATGGCCTAATGGTTTCCATTTGCCTGGATCTGATGTTTCAACCCGAGTGTGTGTGTGTGTGTGTGTGTGTGTGTGTGTGTGTGTGTGTGTGTGTGTGTGTGTGTGTGTGTGTGTAGTGCGTA